CTAAGAACCCCTCCCTTGCAACGTTGGACCTGGAATTGGTATCAACATAGAAAGGGCTCAGCCCTGGCCGGTGGGCTCAGTGGTTAGAGCGCAGGACTGCGGACTGAAGGGTCCCGGTTCGATTTCCGATTTCCGATCAGGGCACATGCCAGGGTTGCGGGCTGGGTTCCCAGTGGGGGGCGGGCAGGAGGCAGCCAATCGGTGAGTCTCATCATTAATATTTCTGTCTCTCCCTCTCCCTTCCTCTCTGAACTCAATAAACATATATTTTAAAAAATAATAATAATAAAATTAAAAACCCGGCTTCCCAGTGGGGGGCGGGCAGGAGGCAGCCAATCGGTGAGTCTCATCATTAATATTTCTGTCTCTCCCTCTCCCTTCCTCTCTGAACTCAATAAACATATATTTTAAAAAATAATAATAATAAAATTAAAAACCCGGCTTGAGCCCTAGCTGGTGTTGCTCAGTGGATAGAGCGCTTGGCCTGCCGAGTGAAGGGTCCCTGTTGGATTCCAGTCAAGGGCACATGGCCGGGTTGTGCGCTCGATCCCCAGTAGGGGGCGTGCAGGAGGCAGCCAATACATATTTCTCTCTCGATGTTTCTACCTCTCCCTCTCCATCAATAAAAACGTACTATGCCGAAACCGGTTTGGCTCAGGGGATAGAGCGTCGGCCTGCTGACTGAAAGGTCCCGGGTTCGATTCCGGTCAAGGGCATGTACCTGGGTTGCGGGCACATCCCCAGTGGGAGATGTGCAGGAGGCAGCTGATCGATGTCTCTCTCTCATCGATGTTTCTAACTGTCTCTCTCCCTTCCTGTCTGTAAAAAATCAATAAAATATATTTAAAAAAAACCATACTAGGTGTACCGGTTAACAATGCGGATTTTTTTCAATAGATGGAGTTACACATATGTGTTGAATTCATTACTTTATTTTGAAGAAAAGAGCTGCTGAAAGTGATCGTATACTTCGGGAAGCTTATGGTGAACCTGCTCCATCTCGAGATACTCATGAACGCTGGTTTAAATGCTTTAAAAGTGATGATTTCGATGTGAAAGACAAAGAACGTCCAGGTCAACCGAAAAAGTTTGAAGACCAACAATGACAAGAGTGGGTGAAGATGCGTGTCAAACTCAAAAACAACTTGCACAAAGATCAAACAATTTCCGATCTTTTACAAGCAACGGGAACGATTTTAAAGGAAGGAAAATGGGTGCACATCACTGCTAAAAACAGCAGGCGATGCCCGAGGCCCTGCCCTGGCCTTGGCTGCTGGGTGGCCAGAGCCCACTGCTGGGGCAGGACCACGCGGAGGAAGGCGAGGGTGTGGAAGGACATTCCTGATTCGCTTTCATTTGGGGAAAAAGGGCCTCTTTTTTTGGTTGTTGTTAATCCTCGCCCCGAGGATACTTTTCTACTGATTTCTTGTTTTTACGGAGTGGGAAGGAGGGAGGGAAGAGACGGGGAGGGGATAAAGAGAGCGATCTGGGTTGGTTGCCTCTGAGGCCAGGATGGACCCTTCAACCCTTCAATCAAGGTACGTGCCCTCGACTGGGAACCCAACCTGCGACCCTTCCGTGTGCTGGTCTCTAACCACTGAGCTCACCACCCAGGGCAAGGACCTCTTTTAAAATCCATATGTGACGCTTGAAAAAAACCTGTCAGGTCATGGGTCCCCTTCACACCTGCCCCTGGGGATGGGGGTGGGTGGCCAGCCTCCGCCCTGTCCTGCTCCTCTGTGTGTTCACCCCAAAGTCCCTTGCTGCCCACACCATCCCTGCTCAGCAGCTGGCCACCCAGCCTCTCCCCACACGCCGTGGGCCACCCTCTCAGTCCCCTCAGAGCCAGCCCTGCCCTCCAAACGCCTCATCATCATCCGGGTCTGAACAGTGGGTGGGGTCAGGACTCCACAGCCTGGCATAGAGACCCTCCACGGGCTCCCCTGTGCCCAGCACATCCTGGGGGGCTTCCAGAACGAGCCACCCACTTCCTCAAGGGAGGGGCCCCTGTCCAGCTGCCAGCCTACTCCCCGGGAGGCCTCTACCTGGCTTTTCCATTCTCCCCCCAGAATGGCCAGGCCCTGGCGCAGGGAGGGACCCTCCTGTCCTGAGGACTTGCCACCAGCGCCCCTCGTGGGGGCAGCCAAGACCAGGGCCTGGCAAGCAGCTCTGCCCCAGGAACCCAAGAAAGTATCCTCAGGGCATTGGGGCGCAGGGCAGGGTCATGAGGCCTGTGATGGCGCCGGTGCAGAGACCGGTGCGGCCAGTAGGTGGCGCTGTGCTGCCTGCAATCGCGGGACAGGAGGGCCCCCTCTGACCCGCAGGCCTCACCTGTCCTTCCAGCCCCTACACCTGCACGGAGCGCAGCGCTCCGAGCGGCAAGGGCAACCAGCCAGCGCTTAGAAACCGGAGGACGAGGCCCTTCGCTTACCTGCGATTCGGATGACTGCCCGCTCAGCTGGGTCCAGGACACTGCCATTGCCTGTCGAGCCGCCTCCGCTGCGCCGGCTCCGCTGCGTCTTGCCCAGGTTCCAGGGCAGGGTGTCCCCGGGGCTGGGGGAGCCGCTGCCTCCGTTGGAGGAGCCATCCTCGGCCGCTGTCCGCACCTCAAGGTCCTCCCCCGACATGGCCTGCGGGAGAGGGAGCAGGAGGGGGTCACACTGGGGGGACTGCACACCGACCCAGCACCTTCTTAACCTAGACACTGGCCCCACCCCACCCACCCTATCACCTGGACACGGGACCCCCCGTGTCCCACCTCATCACACACTGACCCCCACCTTCTCCACCCACCACAGCTGGCCCCACCCGCTCCAGCTCATCCCTCGGACAGCACAGTGACCCCTCCCAAGCACTGACCTCACTGCCTCCAGGCCATCACTAGGACAGTGCCTCCCTCCACTGCTGCCCCCCCCCCTCTTAGTCACCCAAACGCTGACCCCTCTTTGCTGTCACCCAGGAGCTCACACATCAGAGGACACTGACCCCTACCCTTTACCCTGACCAACGGCAGGGGAGGGGTAATTACCTCCACTTGGACACTGACCTCACCCTCCACCGCATCACTCAGACACCCGCCACCCCACGCCCACAACCCCACACCTGGCCCCTGTCTCCTTTAATCCTCTGACCACCAGGAAAACCAGGCCATCAGGAAGCACTGACCACTGCCCCTCCCCTCCAGGCCCGACCCCATCCCCTAGACAATGGCGCTGTACCTCCAAGCTGTCTCAGCCTCTAGGACTCCCCAAGGCCCCACCGCCAGCCCCGCACGCGTCTCCGCAGTGAACTCC